ACATGCATAATGTGAGTTAATAGCTTAGATATTTATAGTAAAAAAACCTCAGCAATTGGGAATTTATTAATGTTATGGCCACTCATGGCATGCATGTGACAGGTTAATGTAATCACATGATTCACGTGATATATCAATATCTGGACTTAAGAGCCATACCACTAATATACTTTGTCTTTTGGTAAAATATTAAACGAATGATGATTAAGGGGAAAAGTCTAAGCATTTGAGCGGAGGGAACCCTGAGGCATTGACCATGACGTAATTAACTTATCTAATCAATATATTAATCACTTTGCCATGCAGTGATCAACATGCATGATCCGACACATGAGCTCTCCTTAATCCTTATCAAGATCTTCCCCCCCCCCCTCTCTCTCTCTCTCCAAGGACTGGAACTTGGATACCACTAATCAATATCTCGATAAATTGAGAGATTTTTCAGTGTGATTAGAACACGGGGGTACATTATGCGATACAATACCAATGGTGGAATATATATACTAAAAAGTTAATAACTTAAAAAATACAATTTCCTACCACTTATATAAAAACACGTGATGTATCATCTATATTCTTGTCACAATGAAAAATTTCTCAGATAAATGATCACTTGCTAGCTTAAAGCTTATGATGGTGTTATTGGTGCGTATATGCTGTGGAGCAACTTTTGGTGCTCCACACCTTGTTTATGAATGCTGCCTTCTTATATACTAATCAACTTTTGATCGATTAATATAAAATTAAGCTAATGCTTTACAAGAAAACTTAAAGGAAATAAGAGTGTTATTCACACATTTATTTTTACTTTTCATACATTTTTGTTAATTTTTTATTATTGATTTTTTTAATTCATTCGATTCGAAGACCGAAAATTAAGAGGGGTGTAGAAGAAGTAAATATGAGTGTGTAGATAGCACCATCCTAAAGGAAAATGCTAGAGAGACCATATTTTTAAATCATATTTTTTAAACCACATGGTGTGGCAATAAAGTAAGACTTCATTATTTAAATAAATGGTCTCTCTAGTATTATCCTTTAAGAATTTAAAAAGAGAAGGTAGCTACGCTCATGGTCCCCGATTGCGCTTGGTCAAGGACAGTCAAGTCATCCCTCAATGGCAGGTCGAAGATCTCCACCGAAATTGTTATTGGCACTCCACTTATTTTTTACTCCAAACTTTTTATATTTAGAAAGAAAAACCACATTTTGAGAGAATTGCACAATAAGATTTTAAAGTGCTAATAAGAGTTTTTTTTTTTTAAAGAAACTATCAACAACCACATCTTATGGTTTATAAAATGTAGTTTAAAAGATGGTCTCTCTAACATTAAACTTAAAACATGTATAAATGTAATGGACCAATGCCGAAACATCGTGCATGGTGATAGTTTACGAGGGCACGTCGAACTAATCCTTGTCTTTTGGCATGTATATTGGCATATTAAAGGGCTGATAATCCTGAGAGCAATTTTGCTCCTTGGATCTGATTTTGGTCCCATATTTAACTTTTCATATGAAATCCAATTTACTCCCTTAGGTGTTGACAAAATAGATCACAACTTATTTAGCGGTTATATTTTTAATTGTGTAGAAGCTTTGTGCATAAAATTCTAACACCTATTAATTCCATGGTGGTTAAGTGTTGGACCTCTCCCCTCTCTCAAACTTGAAAATTGTATCAGAATGAGTTCAAATCTGGCTACACCCAACTACCCAATGTAGAATTGGTTTCACGTGTAGCCTACTCCATCATTCATCTTACAAAATGATCACAACTTTATATTAAAGAGAAATACTAATAAGACTCTCTTAAAGTGGGACTTTTTATAGACTATCTGTCACCTTCGTAGTTTAACATTAATTCTCGTACTAACATTATAAATATTGTGCAAAAAAATTAAGGTGACAGAAAAACTATAAAAAGTCCAACTTTTAAAAAAATCTCCTTAACATTCCCTATATTAAAATTCATCTCTTAAACATCGGAGCCTTTTATATAAAAATCCCATACTTATCGAGTGCACGAATGGTTAAATGGGGACAGTACCCGGTTTGACTCTGAAAGACTTGATTTTCATTTCTTACGTAAACAACCTCAACTTCATCTCACATCATGGTTCCCAGAATCGAGTGGCGCGTGAGTGGCATGGCCTAGGCGCACGAAATGCGAAGCCATCGGAACTTAGAAGTGAGGGGGGATCGAATTGAAGTTAATGGGTATTTAGAGTTGGCCCTACTACTTTAAATTTGGAGAATGAACACTTGATAATTCAAGGAAATATTTAAACAAGTGAAGAAGGTCCTCAAGTTGGAAGGCTCACCGCTTGGCTAAAAATTTGAGGCCATGCACAGACAACGATACCCTTTGTCCCCTGTCTTTTTCCCATTTCGATTGTAATTAATTTTCACACACTATATAGTCCAAACTCCAAACTCCAACCAACATGAATTTGCCGGCCACAAAGTTCATTTCAACTTGGTTCTGTCCGTGCTTCATCGATCCTGCATGCATGTCCTAACAATGTATATATGCATACAGCTAATTAACTTGGTCAAGATCCAAAACTAGCTAGCTAAACAATCAAATTATCAATGGTTTAAATTCACAAACACTAAATATCCAACGTCCAAGGAGGTATATATAGATCCGTCTGTTGGACATGAATTAAAAGCAGTAGCAGTACACATGCTGGTAAATGATGACAAATATTTCTTGAGCAGTGCCAGGGGATCAGTGCATGTAATGCAACTAATAAGCGAGTGTACTAACTTTCACCATTTTCGTTTCTGTCGTTAGTGTTTGGTTTGGTCATTTTCGGTCTCACCTTCATATACGTTTCTTTACCTTCTTCTCTTCATACATTACAGTCTCTCTCTCTCTCTCTCTCTCTCTCTCTCTCTCTCATATATCTACTAACCTCTTGCAGTCTTGCTAACAATTAACTCCTTTTTATTTACTTTCTTCTCTTCATACATCACAGTCTCTCTCTCTCTCTCTCTCTCTCTCTCTCTCTCATATATGTACTAACCTCTTGCAGTCTTGCTAATAATTAACTCCTTTTTATTTACTTTTTATGTTCAAAAAAGTAAAAAACCAATAACCAATAACCAAAAAGCAAAACAATAAATAATATACTTGAAAAAATGATAAACTTTCTAACCACACACAGTCTCACTACTTTGATATTTTTTTTATTTTTGTGAATTTATTTTTTCTTTTGAAATTCTAATGTTAGAAGGGCAATTTTGAGATTATAAAAGTTTCATTTTTTTGCCTTCTCTCTTTATATATAGAATACAAGCAATTGCACACATGCTATGTATATGCTTATTAAAATTTTAAAAATAAAAATTAGAAAGAGAGAAACATAAAAAATGGTCACTAAAGCTTTTTGTAACGACCTTAAAACGATTTTCTGTAGCTGAAAAAGGTTGTTCATATCTTTAATGACATGCTATGTATATCTATTTCATCACTAAAATTGTATTTTATTTGGGAAAGAAATGTGGATAAAAAAGTGGGAGCAAATGATATGGCTACCTGGTTGTGAGGGTTTGAAAAAAAAAAAAAATTTGTGTTCAGTTTACTATATTGTCCATAACTTTTATTTTGATTATTTTTCTTTAATTTTACTCCTTCAGTTGGTAAAAATAGTTTTGTTAATAGGTAGGTGACTCATTATTTACTACATATAATAACTCGTCAGTACCTCGCTTTGGATATCTACTATCTAGGGTTTGTAATTTGGAGGAACCAGAGCCTAATATCAAGTTATCCACTATATATAGATTTAAAACCTCTTTTATAGGTAATTAATCACAATTAGCATGATATTAAAACCTGAGATTTAATTCTTCCCAACCCTTTCAATTGATTATTTCTATGTAGCATATATATGTTGTAAATTATCAGGGTTTTTTTGGAGATATGAACCATATACTAATCATATTCTTTCTTTCTTTTTCATTTGTATTTTATTTCTCATTTTTCCTAACAAATAACAGAAGGAATTACTTGAAATATAATACACTGTCTTCACAGATAATGGTAAAAACATATCATAATAGTTATATTTGCATTAACGTCTATAATTTTTCTTTTTTGATATATATTTTTTTAATTATGTAGAAAAAGGTATAATAGTGTTTTTATGAGTTTTTGGCAAACAAATAGTATTCGATTAATAAGTAGTATAGATAAGTGATTGCACGGGTAGAGACATAGAACTTAGGACCTAGATTGCGAGGATAAATATTCAAAACCACTTGAGCTTTAAACATCTTCACTCATCAGTTTAATTGGATTTCAATACATAAGAGGTCCCTTGACAGCTTTATTAACTTGAAATTTTAGTACCAATATTTCTGTAGACATGCAAATTTCCACATACTCTTGTTATTTGCTACATGATTTTTCGTGTTTACAATTTCAATTCAATAGCCTATTTTTTGTGCAATTTATTTTGAGTACTAATTATCACTTCCATCTTTTTTCTCTGCACTTCTTTTATTTTTGTCTCTTAGCTCTCTTTCCATTTATTCAGTTTAAAGGCAAAAAAAACACAAAAACAAAAGCGCGTGAGAAGAAAAATAGAGTGGAGAAAATAAGAAATCTAAACCAATGTTGCTCGTGAAGCCCATGTCAACATTGGCTGCTCATGAAGCCCAAGAGACCTAAAACGCAAAGCACAAGCCCAAGCACAAGCAAGAATCAGAGAAACCCTTTCGGTCCTTTTAGAATTTGAATTTTAAACGCTTTTCTATCAGAGATAAATGTTGGAGAATGGAGATGGTGACTTGTGGGTTTGGCCGGAAAGTCCTTAAATTTCTCGCCGTCCATTTCCAGAGCACGATGTGAAAGGTAAAGCTCCAATCTTTTCTTGCTTTTCAAATCAACTGTTGCATCTGTTAGTGTTGCTAAATGCGATTATTTGAGGTAAAAGAAGCGTTTTTAGACAAAGTCCTGAGGACCCAGAAAGGAGTTTGAGTGGAAAAAAATGCTGAGTGTGAAGTTTTTTGCGTATGCATTTTCTGCACAGAGAAATTTTAGCACCAAAACTAGTGGAAAAAGCATAAATTGTGTTCAAGATAAATACAAATTTGGACCCAAACCCAAAAACCCTAGAGTTAAGTGGACTGAACAGCAGAAAGAAATCATATCTGCTATTTCTGAGGGGAAATCTGTGTTCATTACCGGTTCCGCGGGGACCGGGAAAACAATGTTGGTTAAGCACATTATAAAACTGTTGAAGAGATGTCACACACCTTCAAAGGTTTTTGTCACGGCACCTACTGGTGTTGCGGCTTGTGCAATCAGTGGGCAGACCCTTCACTCTTTCGCCGGTATTGGTTGTGGCAATGATGATAGGGATACTTTGCTGAGTAGGGTTCTCTCGAATAAGGAGGCTTGTAGGAAGTGGTCGAAAGCCAAGGCGTTGGTCATAGATGAAATTAGCATGGTTGACGGGGAGTTGCTTGATAGTCTTGAATACATTGCAAAATACGTACGACAAATTGATGAAATTTGGGGTGGAATGCAGCTTGTTGTGGGTGGGGATTTCTTTCAGTTACCACCCGTAAAAACTGAGTGGAATTCAGAGAGTAAGGAATTTGCATTTGAAGCAGACTGTTGGGAATCTAGCTTTGATTTACAAGTTAATCTTACAAGGGTTTTTCGGCAGTCAGACCCTCGACTTATCAGGATACTTCAGGGTATTAGAACAGGGGAGATTGATCCTGAAGACTTGAAGTTTTTAGAAAATTCTTGTGCAGATTCTGAGCCAGATCCGTCTGCAGTACAATTCTATCCAAGGATTCAAGACGTAAATAGAGTGAATGCAAGTAGATTGGAGAGCTTGGGTAATGAACTTGTTGTTTATACTTCAGTTGATAGTGGTCACGATCCTTGGAAGAGACAGCTTGAACAGGTGATTGCGCCTAAAGAAATTGGCTTATGTAAAGATGCAAGGGTAATGCTGCTAAAAAATTTGAACACTCAGCGTGGCCTGGTAAATGGTGCTACTGGTACTGTTATGGCATTTCGTAAGACCAAAGACGTGGGATTGACAAGCATATGTGATGGTGGGCTGCTACCAATAGTTAAATTTGATTCGGGGATAATAAAGGTGATAAAACCAAAAACATGGGATGTGACAGAGGGAGATTCAGTAGTTGCTCAAAGAGAGCAGCTACCTCTCACACTGGCTTGGGCTTCAAGCATTCACAAGTGCCAGGGCATGACTCTGGACCGTCTTTACACCAATCTCTCAAAATCTTTCGGATATGGAATGGTTTATGTAACTCTTTCCCGTGTGAAAAGCTTGGAAGGCCTGTATATATCCGGTTTCCATCCCAGCAAGATTAAGGTGCACCCTAAGGTTAAGCAGTTTTATAAAAGGTTTTCTGGCGAACATGAAAAGGAGGTTGAGGATAATGTCACCCAGAAAAAGTATCGTAGCAATCATAATGGTGGATGGGGAAACAAAGATGAGGAGGTTGAGAATGATAATGCCATCCAGAAAAAATACCGTACCAATGATATCGGCAGAAAAGGAAACGATGGCAGCGGATACACATTGGAACAACTGTAGGAAGAAAATACCTGCAAAACATCTGAGACAATTTGCAGTGAGAGAGAAAAAGTTACTACTTAATCTTATAGAGGTGTTCTAAAGTTTGCATCTGATCAAGGAAAACTCAAATTTTTACAAATATTATCGTCTTCTTCACTTTGTTTAGTTGGTTTGTCAATTTTAACAGAGATGCAACCTCATGTGCCTGTTGCTGTGACAGCTTTCTACACTTTCGCTCAATGCGACTATGAGATTTCTTGTGCTCGTGGGAGTGCCTTCAATGTGATAGTAGATGCTTATGTGTTTGTTCGTATTTTGCGCAGCTGTGGCAAGGAGCTTATATCTTACCTTGAACGCCAGGCAAGTTTGTGTTCCGATTCCCCTTCCCCAGTTGCGTTTCTTTAGTGCTATGTCAACCCTTTTGAGTAGACGCATGATGAGGCCGTCTCCTAAGGGCTTTCCCCAGCTTTTGGCCTGGAGAAATTTTCATGGAATGAGTACACTGCTATTCATCTAACTCTAAGGGCTTTCTCCAGCTTTTAGCCTGAAGAAACTTTCATGGAACGAGTACACTGCTATTAGTGCGTCTTGTGCCAATCAAACAACGCCAATATGGAGAAACATTCACATGTGGATTTGTATGATCGGCCGCCGCGTGCCAAAGGAGTTGCTCACAATTTCCCCATACAATTTAGGTCCCTCCGAATTTTTCAGTTGGTTAGCTTGGTTAGCTTGCAAAAGTTACAGCTGCAGCTCTCCTCCCAAATGCCTCTGGATTTCTAGACCAACGGCAGTGGGCATTGAAGTTGTTTAAATCACAGGTTTCAGCGTTCAAGTCAGGGCTCCAAACCATAAGCAAGCACATGGACATGCGTAACTATAACCCGTCTTCCGACAATGTGTCTGAAGACTTCGCAAGTCGAGTCTCATCAGAAGAATAAACACCGAATAAAACATAAAACTGGAAAAATTCCAAAGAGCAAACAGAATATGGAGATTTCATTATGATTGTTGATAACAAGGAAAAAAGAAAGAAATGTTCCGGTTCGGAGAAACTCTACAAATGCTTTATGCAAGAATAGGGAGGTGTAACAGCGTCTCTCGGTCCACCTAAGAGAGAAACTCAAATCTTATGAAAGGTAAACTATCTCACAACTACTATGACGAAAGAAGCTTGAACTGTTTGGGGCAAAAAAGAGCTTAATGCCTGCACGAAATACGGCTGTAGTTGCTCATCTCATTGTAGAGCAGGAAGATGAACGGCTGCTTGGACTTGTTCGATCTTTCTTCAACAAGGACTCGAGATTCTGGAGACATGTAAGTGGCGTGACCTGTGCGAAATACACAATATTACGTAAGTGTATTTAAGCAAATTGACTTGCACTTGACTCAATATATACACGAGAATAAATTTTCCAGTGTGTAGAGAGATTTTTCCAAGTACCTACTCCACATGTCATAACACAAGTGGAGCAAATAATATATTTTTCCGTATCACTCCACTTATTCTATGATATGTGGAGTACCCTCTTGAATACCGGTCACTCTGAAAAAAAAAACTCCACATTCTCCTGTGTGTGTGCCAACAAGAAATAATTCCAGAAGATGTAGAAGCAATCAGAAAAACGAGTTATTAAAGCAGAGAGAGAATTGAACCTTCCAGCGTCTTTTTCGAGCAAACTGGTTATTAATGTCATCCAACCTCTTAATTATTTGCTTGAATGATGGTCTCTTGAATGGGTCCTCACGCCAACACTCCTCGATTAACCTGTACACATTATACAAAAACTTTTAAGTAAGCATTCTTAATAAGCAATTAACCCTGTAGAAGAGAATATGTCTGTATTTTGAGCATCGTAATGAGGCATTTTCTCTCTAAAACTTGGACATGCACAATATAACCATTTTTTTGGAAAAGAGAGAAGAAAAAGTACAAAGCTTTTCCTATCAGGATCGCTTTTTGGTTTCAAGAATTAAGGAGCCAAAACTGCCCAGAAGACGTGTCAAAAAACTTGTCTCCAGTACCACAGTAACTCTTTGGGACCATAATACATCATTATAACGAACAAAAGATTGGCTAGATATAAAGGAAAATGACACTTCATATATACAGAACAAGATCAAATGTATGGAAACAACTTACTCCTTCAATCCGTGTGCATAATGCTTTGGTGGCGCTCTAAATGGTGGGCGCTCATTTGCAACATATGCTTTAGGAACTTCCGTTTCTGGCTTTGTAGAAAATGGTATGCAACCTTCAATCATCTGGAAAATAACATAACATTTTTTTTCAATTATTAAAACTTTTTCTCCGATCATCAAGAATAAACCGCCCCTTAACTGGAAAACATTAATACAAATCAATTCAACTGAGTGCTGGATTAATACAGGACATTCATTAACATGAAAATTTCCAGTAAGGGTATTCCACACATGAAAGAAGTCCATCCCATATACAACAATACAAGTTAAAAAACTGGATATTAGGATGAATTTACAAACATATTGCAAGAAGATAATGTATGGAGAAATACCCTATATAACGACTATATGTAGTTACTGCAATATCATTAGCAATGGGGGGTGGGTGGGTGTGTGTGTGTGTGAGAGAGAGAGAGAGAGAGAGAAGGGAGGGGGGTACGGACAGAGAGAGAAAGAGTACCTCTTGCAAGATCAAAGCAAACGAAAAAACATCCACTTTGGTATCATATTCTTCATTTCTGTAAACCTCTGGAGCCACATATCTCCCTGTACATTAGAGATGTTATTATATCAGCAACAGGAAGACATGATGATGGGAGCTCAGTCTACAGTCTATAATCTAAATTGAAATAATTACATGTTTACAGAACCCTAAGCCTTAATCCTGTTATGCCTAACATTCAAGGCAAAGACTCAGCTTCTACAGCTCTAAGTGAAACACCGGAACCTAAATGGGGATTTTACTGGGGTTAGCTACCCATGCAGTAAACTAAAGCAGTATCCACTCTCTCAGCTCAAGTTAGGAAAAAATTCATCTAGCCTAGCTGGGTTTATTTCTTAGTAAAGGTCAAAATTGATCAGATGGCTACGTAGTTTTACACACAAAATAGCATTGATCAAAGAAATGAAGAATGAAAACTTTTTAAAAAGCAGGCAACATACAAGTGTCTTGACTTGTCACAGGTCTGTCTTCTTTAACTGTATTTGCAACTTTCAGTAGCTTGCTCACCCCAAAGTCTGCAACTTTCAGATGCCCCGAATCATCCCGCAATATGTTTCTGTTATCTTACTCACGAACAATTAAGAAACTATCAAAAGTTTCAATCATTTAGTTATTGATAGCACATGGTCATTGCTACATTTAAGCATGATGCCTTATATGCTAGGCTAAGAGGAACAAACGCCCGATCGCTTATTTATGAGTCAGAGTAGATATAAATTATGTTGGTATACATCTATTTCTCTACTAGCAAAAATAACAGCAACAATAAACATAAAGAGAGAGAGTGTGAGAGCATACGAGGGCTCCAGGTCTCGATGAATTATGGCTTCAGGTTTATGCTCATGCAAGTAATTCATCCCCCTGCAGTGTAATTCAGTACAGTGCTCATTAAGATAAAAGAACACATGCAATCAATAATCGGTTATAACATGTAGCAATCATCCACCTCCCACCACTATGAATTTTAAAACACAAAAGTTCATTTAAATACCGTTTCCGTTGATCAAACAAAGATACGCATGACCCAGTAAATAAATGGTAACACCAAAACTAACCCAACTGGGTTTCCAATCCCAGTCAATGATATAACCAATATTTGAATTCCCTCCCCAGAAATTCTCTAGCTCTAAATGGATCTAGAGTTTGCAATTTCAATGGGATGTGTCCATAGGGACATTAATCCTCAGAGGTAATGCCAATTAAGCAGCTGACCTTATGATTTTTCAACTGCTGACAACTCCAAAAAAAAATTGTCCCACATAAAACAAAGGAAATCCAGGAACTTGGGATGATATGTTTCAAGTCAGGTAACCTATTTCAGAATAATGTAGGAAATTACATTTGCAGTAAATTATTCAAAGCATTCAAAGAATATGCCTCAAGTTCCCCACAAGAAAGGTAATCAAACTCCAAATTGATGATACAGCATGGAAACATCAGATGATTCAGATCCCATGTCAAGATATGGCATTTGTGATGTTCACCAAGAAAACTTGCAAACAAATTCAGAGTACAAGCAACTTGACTGACCTAGCAATGTCGAGTGAAAACTTTACTGCTGATGGTGGTTTTAATGCACCTTTCCTTTTAAGATACGCACGAAAATCTCCCTGCAAAAGTAAAAATAGAAGCTCAGATGAAAAAGAAGATCAACCAATATGTTGCATTTTTACAAATATTGTCTGATGCTAAACAAACACATAATTCATTTGTCTCATTTTGTTTGTCCTACAATCTACAGTGTGTCAATGGTCCATTAATGCCCCTTCTCTTTTTGTAACTGCAATGCAATCCAATAGTTAGGCATTTAAAACTCTAAGTCATCTACCAAAAGTCACACTTTTTGGCATAATGCTGAAGGGCCTAATTGTATACTAATCCATCACTTGGCCTTTCACTGGGTACTAAGTATCACTTATCCAAATTATAACAAGTCAACATCAAATACTCAGATGCAAAATAATGAAATGTGGAAGACGTAGGAATGAATGATGATATTAAATGAAAGACATAAAGCAAAATTCCATTCACATGTTTCAATTAACCTTGGATAGATATTCTATGACAATCATCATTGGACTGCTTTGTGTTACAGCACCCAAAAATTGGACAACGTTTGGATGCCGTATCTTCTGAAGTAGAGCAAGCTCATCCCTGAATGCATTTCTGATTCCATTGAGCCAATTAAAACTCCAGCCGAAAAGAAAGACTTGAGACCTTTTAATTCATTATCTCAATTACAACAAAAGTCAAGCAGTGATAAAAGTTCACACAAAAATTGATGCATAAAGACAAACTTACACTTTATCTTCATCAGCAAATACTTTCTCCCCAAGCGTTTTAACTGCAACCTGAATTCCACGCCATGATGCAATACGATAGGTTCCCTGACATACATTTCATTTGCAATCAAAGATCAATATCACCATTAAACCGTCCTACTTAACTCCTCCATCAATACCAATCCATACTCAACTGAATAAGTTATCCCAAGCTCATTCGTTGTGTCATAGTAAACTTGAATTAGACCTCAAAAAACAAAACAAAAACGAATGCCCATGGAATAGGACCTTTCTTCAAATGAGACTTACCTTGGTTATCTCGACACTATTGGAGAAATCAAGCTCATCAGGATTAATCTCGTATTCGGGGACTTCCCGTGAGTTCTGGACATGCATTGGAGCCATCTAATTTTTGCAAAAACCACAAAATATTTAATTTTTAGAAAAGAAAGAGCAAAAGAAGCAAACTTTGCACACCCAAACAATAATAAATGACATAAACTCCAGTAAATACCGGAGGTTTAGCACCGTAATCCTCCAAAAGTTTGATCACATCATCGTTTTTGTAATAAATTGCATCTGCAAGAGGCTGTTCAACAAATAAATCAGTCACAGAGTCACTACAGTGTTAGTAACCTATACATACACACATATATATACATACACACACATATACATACACACTACTAGAAACCTATACATACAACAGATATATATACAGACGAACGTAGAAAAGTGACAAAATTTGCAGTGAAATTGCTTACCGTGCTGCCCCAACAGTCACGCGGGTCGACCTCGGCGCCTCTTTGGAGCAAGAGCTTGACGACGTCGGTTTGGCCCTGGCAAGCGGCGACGTGGAGGGCGGTGCGGCCGTCGATGTCACTGAAATTGACATTGGTGCCGGAGTCGAGGAGCTCTCGAATGGCGTCCAAGTCGCCCTCGTTGGCCATGTACATGAGCCGCACCCGCGGGTCAACCGGCTCGGGCGTCACCGAGTCGTCCCGGTCCGGCGCCAGCGAGGACTGCTTCAGCAGAGTAAAGCGGGGCCCTCCTGCTGGTTGCTGCTGTTGCTGTGGCACGGGTTCCATGTGTGGAGAAGGAGAATTGGAATTGGCTGTGAATGAGAGGAGTGAGAGAGTCAGAAAACGAACAAGATACTAGAGGGGAGAGAGAGAGAGAGAGAGAGAGTAGGTGGGATTGGATAGGGATAAGAATAAAGTAGGGAGGACTTGAGCAGGACTGGAGGGACTTGGTCGCTAGCTAGCTGCTTACTAGGCGTAGGCGGAGTCTGGAATTTGTTTTTCATCTCTCTTTCTTGAGAGAAATTTTTCTAGGTGATGGCATATTAGCTTACGTGGGTTCCCAATTAATGAAACATTGTGTCAATGTTATTGTTGAAAATAAAAAATTTGTCACATTTTGCTATTTATGATAGGTATTAAATAAATTAGTCAACAAAATTCCTAATATACCCTTAACATAATAGTTGAAAGAGAAAGATGTCAGAGAATTCTTCGACTTCCTTCTGCCACACCGACCACCCACCCTAAATCACTCACCCACATCGCTGCCCTGTGATTCCACTGGCGACACCTTTCTTCCTCTTTTTGTTTCTCCTCTTCTCTCTCGCTTTCTTCTACCCTATGAGAAACCACCCACCTCTATCGACCCAGATTTGTCGTCTTTGACCTCCAATTTTATGATCTGATGAATTTCCAGCGTTTTTTGTGTCCTTCTTAGGAGGAGCACAAAAAGAGGAAGAAATATTGAAAACGAAAGAGAAGGGGAGAGAGACGTGTGGGGAAGGGAGGGATGGGTAGGAGTGGGGGGTGGACTGTACAAGTATTCGGGAGGGAGTCGACCATTGCTTTTAATTGTTTTTTTTTCTTTTTTATTAATTGTAAAAAGAGTATTGTTATGTCAAGAATACAGATGTTAATAGGTTATTAACGGGGAACACCACTTTGACACCTGTCATGCTGAGGTGTGTGTTCCAGTCACATAGAAAAATTTCTCCTTTCTTGACTAGAAGAAGCATGAGTGGGGCGACCACCCACCAACCCATTACTTAGCCGCAATAGATCAAATCTAGATTCTGGTCGGATCTTCTTTGTGAGGATTCTGAAAATTAATGAATCGTGTTCGGTCATAAATTATTTTAAATATTTTTATTTAAGATTAAACACAAACAATACTTGATAAAAACTGACTGCACGAGTTACGGATTCTCACCAAAAAGATTCGGAGATGATCCTGCTGGCAATGGGTTGGGTTTCGTAATTTTATATACTTCTTTTGATAATTATTTAAATATTTATTTTTTAAATAGAAAACAAATTGCCTCTTAATTAAAAAGTTATAATAAAAATAAACGGGTCCTTGTTGTGGCTTATTTTATCTGATAGAAAGAGTAGGGAGGGAGGTATTTGTAGGGTTGTGTAGAGGATTTAAGCCTGACTTAAAATATTTTGGACCCACCAAATTGTTATATTTTAAACTTTTTTTTTTTACTTATAATCTAACAGTTGTGATGAAATGAGATCAAATTTAATAGTAAAAAAAAAAAATAAAAAAAAAAAAAAAACTAACAGCCCAAAATTAAATATGTCTAAAATAATTTAAGAAAATAATTTTAATTTAATTTAATTTAAAACTTTATAAATACCTATGTACTTGTATGTTTTTTAATTACTTATTAGAATTTAAATATTTTTATATTAAAATGTTCATAAAAATAAATTAGGATAATCTACATAAATTTTATTTTCAAAAAAGTTACTGAAAAAAAAATTAGGCTAAAATAATTATTTAATAATCTCGAGCTAAAATTTTAAGCCATAAGGGTTGGAGGAGAAAAGCAATTTCTGGGTTATGGCTTAAATTTTGAAGCTTTATCCCCAAGGGTTGGAGACGGTCCAAGGAATACAAGTTCTAATAGAAAAAAATAACTATTATCAAATCTAATTAGGATTTACATAATCACACTTAAATACAATGTTTACAACACTCTCCATTGAGTGTGTAAGTACTCAAGTAGATTCGACATCATGTAGAGTTAAGGAAGTTGACTCGTCGAGACTTATTCTAGGTAGGGGTGGTTCGGTATGGGATCCCATACCGAAACCATTGTCCCGATTTCCAAACCGAAATTTTTGGGAATCCCAAATTCAATCCCAATCCCAAACCAAATTTTCGGGAATCCCAATTTTCGGGAATCCCGAAATAATTTCGGGATTTCGGGACAAATCGGGAATCCCAAAATGCTTTTGGGCTTTTGGACTAAAATTTGACATATTATGTTTTTGGGCTAAAATTTGACATATTATAAAGTAATAAATAAAGTAACAAACTCAAAAGCAAAAATAGTAGTTACAAGCCAAGGTTTATAAATAAAGTAACAAACCCAAAATCAAAAAAATTAGTTATGAGCCAAAATTGTGTTGTATTCTCCTCACCTCCCAAATTAGCCGTGTCTAAAACAATAAACCACAAATCATTTACATTGAATTATAGTCTAATAGATAATAAATACTAAGAAAATAAAAAAGGAAATTAAATTGTTTACAACTAATAAATAATGAATAATTCAAATACAAACTTTTCATATCACTAACTATTAGTACTAGTTAGAACTTAAACTACATCAAATATTAAGGTGCATCAATTATAACTATCAGTATACCCTTTATTAACCTCCCTATAGTGAATTACACCACATCAGTTATATTAATTAGTTTTATTAATGTACTAGTTTATCAATTAACAATATGCATGCACAATATTAAGGTACTAGTATAATATATGTATACTGATATATATAATAAAACTTTTCTGATGAACTTAAACTAATATCCAAAGATTAATCACATTAGTTGAGACAACTGGAATATAGAAACAAACAAAAGATTAATAATATTTATTTCAATTCGGTATGGGAATACCGAAAAAATGGAGATGGAATACCGAATCCCATACCGAAAATTTCGGTTTGGTTCGGGATTACATACCGAAAATTTCGGGAATTTTGGTTTGGGATTTTTTTGGTTTGGGATCGGGATTTTTTCGGTTTGGTTTGGGATTTTTGGGATTTTTTTCCAGCCCTAATTCTAGGAACGAGCTATGGTAAAACCCAAGTAGGAACAAAACCCATAGTCTAAGAAAAAATGCATGAGTAATGTAAAGTCAAATGAAATGTCTACGAGACGTCACCAGGAATATGATCAACCCAAAGTGGGTGTCTTGTCAAAACCTCATTAGGTAGTAAAAACCCAGTGGGAAAAATGCTCTTAATCGTAGGGAAAATAGTACATTAAGATCAAATAAGCATACTCCAGGATATTCCCTTTGAGTTCAACATAATTCCAAAGATAACTAACAATGTTACAACTCAGAAAGTTTATGTATACCTATTCCTTGAACAAGCTTCTGAACGTCGCATTTGGCAGTGATTTGGAAAGAGATCGACCAGATTGTCTTGTGAACGGGTTTGCGTGACTTCAATCTTCTGATACTCTTGCTGTTAATGTGAGAAGAATAACTTCGACGCAATGTGCTTGGTGTTGTCTTATTTGATGTAACCCTTCTTGAGCTGTTTGATGGATGTTGCATTATCTTTATAGATCATCGTCAAGACGTCAATGACGAGGTAAAGATTGCAGGAGCTTCAAATATGGCCCACAACTGCTCTCAGCCAAAAGCATTCCCAAGTAGATTCGTGCAGGGCGAGAATTTCAGCATGACTAGACAAAGTGGCAACTAAGGTCTGTATAGTTGACCTCTATGAGCAGTGCCTCAAATGGTAAAGACATAACCCGTTTGAGAGTAAGCCTTGTGCAGATCAAATAAGTATCATGCGTCGGGATAACCAACATGGCGATAATCGACTTTAGATAAAGGGATACGACATCACTCGAGGATCCGTATAGATAGAACATGCCCAGATCCGTAGTACCCTTAATGTAACGAAATATATCTTTAACACCAGTCTAATGTTTAGGTGTAGGTACATTACTCTATCTTGCCAAAAGATTAACAGTGAAGGAGATGTCGGGTCTAGTGCATTGAGCTAAGTACAATAAAGTGCATATCGCACTTAGATAAGGAACTTCCGATTCCAAAATCTCTTCATCATCCTCTTTTGGACGGAAGGGATCTCGTTTTGCATCTAATGATTGAATGACCATAGGAGTACTCAAAGACTTCATTTTATCCTCGTTAAAACGGCACAACACCTTATGGGTGTAGTTCGATTGATGTACTAAGATTTCATTCGAACGGTGCTCTATCTTGAGACCGAGACAATATCGAGTCTTTCCTAGATCTTTCATCTCAAATTTTGATTTCAAGTGCACGGCAGTTCCCTCGAGCTTTTCAGGAGTTTCGATGAGGTTAATATCGTCGACATAAATTGCAACAGTCGCAAAATCAGAATGTGACTTCTTAATGAACACGCAAGAGCATAGTTTGTTGTTCACTTATCCTTAACTATCAAATACTTACTCAGATAGTTATACTACATTCTTCTGGATTGCTTCAAACCATATAATGAACGCCTCAACGCATTGAGAACGTGTTCCAGGGTTTGGGACTATTTGATCCAGTTAAAGTAAATCCTTCATGAACTTTCATATAAATTTTCATATCAAGATCCCCACAGAGATACACAGTTATTACGTCCATCAGCTGTATGCTCAGTTTTTTGAAAACTACCAAACTGATAAGGTAGCGAAAAGTAATCACATCCATAACGGGTGAATAAGTTTCATCATAATCAATCCCGGGGCGTTGTGAGAAGCCTTGCGCAACAAGGCGATCTTTGTAACACATAATTTCATTCTTTTCATTACATTTCCAAACAAAAATCCACTTGTAGCCAACGGGCTTCACATGTGGAGGAGTAGGAGCTACGGTTCCAAACACTCAAGCGAATTGAGTTCGATTTGGATTACTTGTTTCCAGTTTGACCAATCAGTTCTATGTCAACATTCATCAACAGAAAGGGGTTCAATGTCATCGCTCAACATGATCTCAATAGCTACTGCATATGCTAATACATCGTCGATGATCATCTCATTTCTACACTAAATATCATTCAAGCTAGCATAATGGACCAAAATTTCTCAATTCTTGGAGGTGGATTCGTCTCTTCAAGGACATTTCCGTAATATAGATTTTCCTCATGAGTTGGATAGAATGAGTAGGTGATAGTCAGATTCACGGTAAGCTCAACAGTCTGTGATGTGGGTTTTCTTTTCCAGGGGTATGAATCATTTTGAACCAAGAGGTCTGCCATGC